ACGCACACTCACCGAAAAGTATCCGATAGATGACCGAAAGGCTTGCGACTTTACGCCTGTGTTCGAGGCTTTGAAGCTGGGCCTCTACAAGCGAAGCGTCATTGATGGAACTCTTGGCGTGCCTCTTAATAGATTCAAGGACTTCCAGCTGGTATTTAGCCGAGCCATTCCAAACATGGAAGCAATACTTCTTACACGACCGAACTTGTGTTTGGTAAAGAGTGAGCAGTTGCTCCGGTGCGAAGTACCGTCTCACCCTCGACAGGACACCCAACTTTCTACCAGCCAGTTGCGCCTTTGACTCAATATACGAGCCCATCTATATGACTATGATAATTGTAACTTGTAAATATTTTATTTAGTTTTTATTCTTTTAAACAGGCTGATTTATATTTATTACATTAGTTTAATTATGTATTGTATTCATAATAAAATAAAGTTACATCATACTACTTCAAAATTAACGCATTATATTAACAAAAGAAAAAAAAAATAAAAAGAACAACGCTCGCTTGTATGTCGTCGAGTGTACCAGAACCCTCCACAACAAAGGTATTAAAAATGTTTAATAAAAAAATACTTCTTCACATTATTGTCGGATTTATTGTTCTAACTAAACAATAAATCGGACAAAATCTCCAAAAATTACAATTTTATTATTAAATTTGACTTATGTATTAATTTATGACATTATAACACCTCCATTGTCTTATTTTAGTATTTTTGAATGTTAGTCATCTCAAAATAGGTGGTTACGCATTTTATATCTTAATAATATAACAAAGAACGTAGTTTCTATTGACGCAAACTTTGTTGCCACAATGTAATGCAATCATGGATGTAAGTAATTCCCTGCAGAAGTAAGCTGAAAAGTCGTACTTTTTTATCGTTTCGCACTAACAAGTAAGGGAAAGCCATTCTTCGGTACGAATGGGCCGGCTCGACCGGAGTGATACCACGGCCTCACAGAAAACCGACGTGAAATAACGCTTGCGTTCTTGTTTCTCGTCGGTTTTCCGGAGGCCCAATTAACCCCCCCCCACTTCCCAATACCTAAATCCCCAACAATCCTCAATTTCCTTATCCCCAAAAGCCGGATGTGACTATGACTTTGAAACTATATCGTTACTTTAAAGAAACCTTTTTTTCTCATTATAACATTGTTCTTGTCTAATAAAACATTAATTAATACATGTATCATATTTTATAATTAACATAAATATATTCCTTGCATAAATTAACTATTCTATTTTTTCATCTAATTAATCAACAATGATAATATTCTGTGTAAACTATAAAAATAAATCATTCCAGGGACGAAATATTCAGAAAGAACTGCTATGAATCGATACTTTGAATATTTTGAAAAAATGGTTGTCACTGTGTCAGTAAGTAGCCTAGGTACAAATAGTTGCATCGAGTTAGAATGAATGCGAATGTTAGTTAATTATTTAGACCAAATAAACGATTTGTGAAAAGTGCAGCAACGTGGAAGGTAACCAAAGTCCTTCTTAGTAGTTAGTCCTTTTTTTTAAGGGGGAAAGTCATCGATTGGCTTCTCCCGCCTAAGTGAGGCGGGCGGGAGTGTCGGCCTCTCACTGACTAAAAACCACCCCGTTCTTACTCCTGCACTTCGAGCCGGAGGTCCGGGAACCTTTTACGTTCTTCGCGGCTCCTTAGCGGCCCTGTTGGGCCCCATCGGTGGTGGCCCGATGGCTATTTGAGGAAATAGATTGTAATTGCAACGTATTTACTGTTTTTTTTTTTTTATTTATTCTCAGTAGTAGCACGGAGTCAGGGATCGTGTTCGGTATATGACATTACACTTACCTCCTCTTATACATGGATCTTATACCATAAATAGTGAAAAGTGGGTGTTACATTGTACAGTGACGTTAAGTGCCGTAATGTGCACCTCTGTTTATTTTTTTTGGGGATAAAAGACGTGATGTTATGTTAATTTCAACGTAAAAGTTCATTTTTAACTTTTTAGTAAAATTGTTACCTTATTGCATCCCATTTTCCTGTATCGTGAATGTTTTTACGAATATATAATATCACATACCCAGACAACCGAACCAATTTTGTGGGTATTCTTGTTTTTATGATATCTTGTAAAAATCTAAAAAAAAACCTTTGTCTTTCCGTAAAATGCATGACGTCATGATGATGTCAAATTAAAATTAAAGTATGCACGTTTCATCATTTACTCAGTGCAATCATATTCACGTCCACATTATAATAAATAAACTTTATTTCTGGTTTTTTTAAGTATGTTATTTACCATAATTTATAAAAAATTAATGACCCTAAGTACTTTTGTAAATCCAGCCGTGTGATTCACACGCTTGCATCAGTTCTCTGGTCGTACAATACCTACACTTAAGAATATTACCTATTATAAGATATCCGGGATTTATTGTCCTACTACTAACTAGATAGACACTGGACAGGTCTAAATTGCCACAAAAAACAATTAAAACAGACATTATATTTAACCTTAATAAAATAAGTCACCGAAATAGATACATGTGTTAGCGCATACCTCTAGAATTGCTCGACAAAATCAGTAGGTACCTAATTCCTATTTTTTTATTGCTTATTGTTAGGATACAGTTTGTATGAACAAAAAAAAACAATACATCCACTGGGTGCATCGGAAAATAGTACCTAGATGAAGCTGAGGCAAGCGGCTACTGAAACATAAAGACTGTCTAACCCGGTAATCAAACCCGAAATGTATAACTCGGTAGTCACATAATTATGACTCGTATGTCACTGCAAACTTGACTGATATCGACGCGACGTTTAGTTTATGACCTGACGCCATATTGTTAACTAAATTATTGACTTGTCTTTTGTTATTATACGCAATAACAATCAACACCAGACTGACCTCGACCTGATTGAGTAACGTCAGTAGTCAGGACGAAGAAATATATCTTTATTGAGCATGACACAAGAAACAATACACAAATATGTAAGGTAACATAACATAACATCACGCCTTTTATCCCCGAAGGGGTAGGCAGAGGTGCACATTAATGCCACTGTACAATGTAACACCCACTTTTCACTATTTATGTTATGAGTCCCATGTAATAGGGGGTGAGCCTATTGCCATATACCGGGCACATTTCCAGACTCCGTGCTACTACTGAGAATTTTTTAAAAACCCAGTAATACTTTGCCCGTCCCGGGAATCGAACCCGAGACCCCTTGCCCGGCAGTCGCACTTGCGACCACTCGGCCAACGAGGCAGTCAAAGTCAAATATGTAAGGTCTCGTTATGTAATATGTGAAGGAAACTATTGTGAGGAAACCTGGATATTGTGATTTTTAATTTATTATAAGTTAGAAATTGCCAACCCGCATTGAAGCAAGCGTGGTAATTAATACTCTAACCTTCCCTATACCTCTATATATATACAACCATCCCTAAACCATCTCTTAACTAAAAGTTGCTTGGAGTAACTGAGCACCTTAACTAGCCCCTTACTTGTTAGGTGTCACTTATTGATTGGTAAAAACTAAAATGTCGTTAAATGTCACTTCTCACTTAGCTTAACTCGTCGAGTACCGGTTTTGTAGACACAATTATAGAACAATAGGTTGCGGTCACCGGTGACCGCTTGGTGTTTGACAGTTTAAAGGTTTTTTAAAATTTAGGAGAAGTTGATGAAAACGGACTTCAAATCAATAATTTTCCAGTAACTCTCGGTTTCAATTTATAGGAGATCTACACACATTTTTTGCCCTTAGCTCTTCCGGCCATTAAACTGTCAAACACCAAGCGGTCACCGGTGACCGCAACCTATTGTTCTATAATTGTGTCTACGATGACGGTACTCGACGAGTTAATCATCGTAGCGGCAAACTTGTTACACTGGAATTGTGACTAGAGAATTGAATCCGACACCTCTCACGCAGCAGTCATCAGTCATGCTTGCGGTCACTCGACAAAGGAAGCAGTCAGACGGTTATGTAATCAATAGAAAATAACGTCGAGATTTACGAACTCTTTAATTAATAATTTTAAACCAAAAACAGTTACTGCTGGTATGCCATTTAAAAAACATAATCAAAAACATATACATAAAAAGAGATACAGACCGTTTCACTTTTTAATTTGGCGAAATTATGCAAGTGTGTTACATAGCACTATGAGTTCGTGAATCGCATCTATGACGTATATTATTAATATAATGTCTGCGATACTTTCTTGTTCGTTCTTCTTTAGACGAATCTTAGAAGCAAAGAAACAGAGCCTCTAGCATTTTTACTGTTGCATTTCTTGATAATTATTTGCTTCTGCCCGCGACTTCGTACGCGCAATCCCGTTTACTCCCGTTCCCGTAGGATTTTCAGATTTTAGCCAGCCCGGCAGATGGCCCTGCAGTCAGAACCTAGGTTATTTATCTATACCTATTATTATATTATTATTATTATATCATATGCAGGACAACGTCTGTCGGGGCCGCTAGTATAAATATAAATATAGATATAAGTATTTTATTAATTGGTAACGTATGTCGTGTAACAGGCAATTTAAATACCTTTGAAATCAGAGCATTTGTTGTAAAAAGAATATATATTTTTAAAGTCAACGAGGGTTCGTTAAAGTGGAAACAAATCTATTGGTACGTTTCTTTGCGCCCCGGTGCATATTTTGGAAAGAGTAACTAATTTTACTGACAGATACTCAAACTGCGAGATAATAAAGTACCTGGGTATTTTTTGTATTATCATTCCATACTTTTAATTTTGCGTTCATCTTTCTTTCTCATAAAGGGTGAGTGACATTATTCAATATTTAATTAATTTTAGTACAGATTATTTTCTCATTAGAAATCTTTTGCACGGCAAGAAATGCATAAACTTATAGGTTAGGACAACACCCCCATTTCATATACACACGTACTTAATTAAATACAAATTATATACACAAATATTAGTACACATTATATATAAAAATTATCATATTATCAAACATTACCCACTTTTATATTGCACTGCACTTCAATCCATGCACAAAATACAATCACTGTTTATTTTTCAAAATATTTAACACGGTCCACACTGCACGGCTCTCCAAAACTGATCGACTTAATGACTGGACTTTCACAATTCCATACATTATACCTCGTGGGGTATCATATTATCCCCACCATCAGCGGTGTGTTAGGCTTATAGATATGAATCCCTGGTCATCACATGACGTCAACGGTCCACTATTGGACTGTAGACCTCCTCTACATCGAGAGATGGTCTTTGGCAACCATAAGCACGGGCCTGCGTACGGCGAGCACGGGTGACTCGCCGCCCGACCAGAACCAGATCCGAGCGTACGGCGCGTCGTGTCCCCGCGCCTCGAACGGCCATCAGACCACCCATTAGGGCTGATGCCGATACGGACCCGCGGAAGACTTAACAGGTTACCGGAGCTCCAACTCAAAATTCAAGAGTAGGCACGGGGTGGTTTTTAATCAATAAGAGTCTGACACTCCCTCTCGCCTCACCCAGGCGGGAGAAGTCATTCTATGAATTTCCCCCCTTAAAATGGCCTTCTCTACATCTCTAATATTGCTTTAGATCCGTTGCTTCACAGCTACAGGATCAGTCAAAAACATACAGGCCATCTGGCACATCTCTGGCAATCTTACTGAACTGGACCTATAATAATATACCTCTATGTTCTGTGGGACTTATTTTGGTGCCGCCGTGGGGCAGAAAGCTATTTAATTGGTTAGATATCGCAGTGGCATCGGTTCAGGTTTGTTAGAGAGCGGCTAGGTCTTTGTTAAATCTGTAATCAATTAGTAAGCGCTTTCGACACCCACCCAAAGAGGTAGGGTAGTGATAAATGTAGAGGTATATTACTCATCATATATTAGAAGATATTGCATCTTATGTTTAAACAGTTTCGAAAATCATCAGTGCAAACATGTGAAGGTCATAAGCAAGATTGCTTTACAAGGAAATGTTAGAAGATATTACTAGACACAATCCCAGACTATATTTTACACGCAATAGAGACTGGAATGAACAGACCTAATTCCAGACTTCATTATGAGTGCTGATAAGAATGTGTTATGTTTCAAATAATAATTCATTTAGCCATTTAGGCCGTCACCAGTTCCATCGCTGAAGCAGATCCATGCGTGTTCTTTATGGCTACCCTGAAATTCCATTGTAAGAATCTATATGCAACTGCAGTATTCTGGTCTAATTCTGATACTTTTTAAATAGTTTATCGGTAAACTTCGTACAAAGATTAACACACATTTGTTCATACATAAGGCCTTGTGTTGCTATAAGATTAGTTAGAGGCACTTAAATGCTTACCTTTTAATTTAAGATAGTTGTCTCTGTTGGCGGATCATTGATTGGTTCATGGTTGTCTATTATATCAGCCACAAAGGGTCCACTGCTAAACACAATATGTACTTCACTTGGATTGGTTGCTATCTCGTCCGAAGATTTTTATTTAACTAACAAAATGTGAATATACGTTCCACACAAACCGGTTAGCTTCTTTAGAAACACAAAATAAATTAGATAATAGAAGGTAGATCAGCCAGACAGCAGTTTTAATAAATCAAAGAATTATGCAAATACAAATAAATAAACATTACCTACGAAGTGGACGACAAACACAACCTGAGTTTAATTAATAAAGCCACTTATGCTGTCACATCTACGGAGTGATTGTACAGTAGCCATAAAATGTAGTAAATAGCAGCAGTTAACAAAATCCGGGTCAAGTAAAGTCCAATGTATTAGATTTTCAAATTACTTATTAAGGACCGGGTCTGGTATAACGGCCTGTGTCTGGCTATGGACCACTGTCAGATGACAATTTTGTAAATACAGTCAAATAGATAAGTGTGGAAGAGCCATATTCCGTCTCTCTAGAGTTGCAAGAAGTGTATACGGGTGGCCTCGATTGCTTACCATCAGGTGACACGTCTGCTCGTTTACCAACCTGTTCCAAAAATGTATAGGCATAATTATATTTATATATCATGTCCTCTTTAAGGATAAATGTTAAACAACATGTTTACAAAGTCAAAATAAAATATAAAATGATTATAGTATCTATCATCAATTTATCATAAATATAAAGGTGAAAGTTAGCGAATGTGATGCCATACTCAGTTACGTTTACTATAAATCATTAAATATGTATATTAATAAAAATTTATAATTATACCGAGATATGTACCTATATTAACCTTGTTCCTAGGGTTGCCACAATTTAATTCTAATTAATTTAATCAAGCTACGAAATAGAAAGAAACTAAAACCTGGTTTTAGTTGCATTAAAGAATCATAATATAAGTTGCATCAAAGAATTTATCCTCATTACTGTCATTGGAGAACGTTCTCACTTCCTAGAATCAGGTAGCAGGTCTATATACATAAGTGCAATGTATTAATAGTGTTAGTCTGTGAAAAAAAATCTGTCGAAACAATAGCCAGCTTTCTGGTCAAATGAAGAGTACAAATATGTAAAAATTGTGCCGAAGATTATGTGGATCTATTAACTGGTTCACCTTGCGGTTATTGTCATAAAAAATGCTGTATTTAATCATTTCTTTCACCCAACTTGACCCTACTTTTACTATGTGAGACGAAGAGTTCACCACGGCACCAGCAACCACGCATTGCGGCAGATTACATACTGTATATATACAGTTAAATTTACATCGTCCATCACATTTAGTCCATCCTCAAAGAAGACAGACGACCAGATTGAGGTCGCAGGTAGCCACTGGATGCAAGTCGCTTCCAACTCTATCTGGAAGTCATTGGGGGATGTTCAGCAGTGGACATCCTAAGAAAGAAAGAAATAAAGAAAAATTTATTTGTCAGAATGTAGTTACAATCGGTGTTTTATCTTAATTAATGTCTCATACATTCTACCGAATCGGTGTGCGGTGTACAAATATTACACTTATTTTCCACTTAGACATTTATGTACTATTCCACAACAATGTTCTTGCAATCTTTGTCATCGAGAAAATCTTTAGTTGAGTAGTAGGTACCACTTACTTAACAGAAACTTAAGTAATTCTGTTCTGAATGACGTTAAGTTAAGATTTTTAGGTCATTTGGAAGCCTATTATAAATTTTGATAGCCATACAAAATTTATAATAGGCTTATGATGATAATAATGATGCGTAAGATTTTGATTCTTTGGATATCTATTTAATTCTAAACTTAGTCTATTTTCCAGATTAAAAAGGAATAATGCGTTCACTAAACAGTTAGCCTTGATGCACTTTACAAATTATGCATTATGCATAGGTACCCAATAGATGATAATACAGTGAAACTTGGTTAAGTGGGACCTGGATAAGTGAAAAACCTCAATAACTGGAACTCATGCTGAGGTCCCAACTCTTTGGCACTGAATTACCAGTGCTAGTGGGACGAGGTAAACCTCTATATCTGGGATTTGTTTTTTCGATTTATCATCATAGTTACCTCTATAACTGAGACAGCATAACATTGTTTGTTTACTCATTATTATTTTACCCACAAATTCCATATGTAATTCCAAGTTCACCTCTATTAATAACCCTCTGTAAATGAGACAGATATTTATTTATATACCTGTATATCTGAGACACTGGGTAAGTGGAATACCTCTATAAGTGAAACGATATTGCTGGTCCCTTGATGTCTCACTTAACCAGGTTTCACTGTATTATTGTTTATAGTAATTGTAGGAACCAACAATATGTGAACACCATTTAGGCGCTTTCAAATATCTTAACGTTAGCTTTCTAAACAATAAAAATAATACATATCATATAACACGTACAACGTACATAGACCACAATAATCTTATTCTCAACAGTTCAATATTACATAAGTCTGCAACGTATGTTCCTAACCTAACATGAAGCTACCATTGTTAAGGTTTTTTGGTGTCTGGCTCTAGAAGTCAATGACCGCTCCGTACAGCCCATACCAGGTACAAGAATTTATTTTTTCATTTTAGTAATAAAACCAGCCACAACGGGAAACAGATACATACTTAATATTTACAAAAAAATAAGCTCAGATTGTGATGTTTATATTTATTTCTTGGAATAATTAATTAGTGTGTAGTAAAGTTATATTTAAACAAAAATAAATATCTATATATAAATAAAAATGAATTTCTGTTCGTTAGTCTCGCTAAAACTCGATACGGTCGAACCGATTTGGTTAATTTGGTCTTGAAATGTTTGTGGAAGTCCAGAGAAGGTTTAAAAGGTGAGAAAAAAAGTTGAGGCGAGACGAAGTTTGCCGGGTCAGCTAGTTTTTAAGTAATAAAAAAAATATATATATTTTCCAAAGAGGTTGTTTTGAATTCTATTCTTTACATACCCCAGAAATTACAGCCATGATGTTATTGTAACTTCTATACATGAGAGGTATTTGACCTTTGAAATGAAATTCGATTGTGTCTGGCTGAGTCTGGCCCATTGTTGATAAATTATGTCATAAGTCATCGGTCGCTACAGTTGTACAATGTAGGTGAAGCTACTAATTTTATACTTATATCAAGTACCAAATTTCAAAAACTAGAACATAATCTAAACAGGTAAATAAAATTGGAGTATCTGTTTGTAACATTGAAATAACAACTTTTTACTACATGCACATAAATATACCTACATACGATTTTTTTTTTTAAGGGGGGAAATCATCGAATGACTGCTCCCGCCTGGGTGAGACGGGAGGGAGTGTCAGACTCTTACTGACTAAAAACCACCCCGTTCCTTCTCCTGCACGTCGAGCCGGAGCCCCGGTTACCCGTTAGGTTCTCCGCAACTCCGAATCGGCATCGGCCCTATTGGGCCCCATCTGTGGTGGTCTGATGACCTACACACGATATACCTGTACCAAATACATTTTTTTTGTCTGTCTGTTTGTTTGTACTAGCTAATCTCTGAAATAGCTGAACCGATTTTGGATGGGACTTTTACTGGCAGGTAGCTGATGTACTAAGGAGTAATATAGGCTATTTTTATATTGGAAAATTGACACATAAAGAAAGTTTTATCCTAAAACTCATATTTTATGCGGATGAAGTCGCGGCCAACAGGTAATATCTAATAGAAATCTTTAAAAATGTTAATTTGAAGTGAACTCTACCAAGGTTTAGTTTTATTTCATTTAAGATACTATATTAGTCCATAAAAGATTCTATAATATAGAACCTAACCTAATGCCTACAACCTAATTGGAAATGTTCAGCAATTTTTTTATGGGATAAACCGGTAAACCTGCTGACGGATTACCTGATGGTAAGCAATCAACGTTGCCCATGGACACCTGAAACACGAGAGGGGTTACAAGTGCATTACCGGCCTTTTGGGAATTGGAAATTTAAGGATTGTGGGGGATTCGGGAATTGGAGGGTAATTAGGCCTCCTGTGAGGCCGTGGTATCACTCCGGTCGGGCCGTCCCATTCGTGCCGAAGCATGGCTCTTTTAAACACTCTAATTGCACAATGACATTTTGAAAAAAGAACCACATCAATATAGAGTTGTGTCTAGATAAATTAGGTATGCTTTAGACGAGATTAACAGACACAAGCGCCTTACAATATATTTATAGTAATAATATTGTGCGAATCTTTAATGGATGTAAACATTAGTCTATATCCCTATCATTTTCTTACTTTCAATGTTTGTGTTATATTGTTGACTAATAGAACTACAGAATGTCCTTAAATACGCAACGTTCCGGGCTTTTTTGTTACTAGACAATACAAACACGTTTTGCTTAGAAGTTACTTACAACGCGACGTATAATAGGGTAGATGCCTAATTATTATTTTAATGTCCGTTGGTAGATTATTTTAAATCAGTAGACACGTATGTACATTTTATATGTAGAAATGACGTTTTAGCCCCCACTCCTAAACTTTGATTCGTTATATCTAAGTATTGTTTTCTTATACGACAAAATAAAAAAATATAAATTTTAGACTAAATAGATTTTTAATTTTCATCGGACTGACTGACAGACTATTATTTATTTTGTATTTGTTGACGTTTCAAAGGTACCAAACTATGGTTTAATTGAAATAAATGCTTTGACTTTGACTTCATACCCTGTCATCATCACAACTGGCCGTGTGAAAAACACTCAACGCTCAAATCTAATCCTGCACAGTTGGAAGTTTGACCTGCGATTTATTGATGGTCATTGCAAAAAGTATCTATACCGTAAATTGTAGGCGTTTGCGTAGTTTAAAGATCTAAGCATACATAGGGACAGACAGACGGCGGATAGATACTTTGTTTTACTATAAAAATAAATAAAATAAAACTCATTTATTTCGGACATCTAAGAGATTCATAAAATTAATATCTATACCATACATCATTAATATCATACCATCGCAGTCATACAAAAGTTAGTCAAATATCATAATTAACTACATTAAACTGTCAAACACCAAGCGGTCACCGGTGACCGCAACCTATTGTTCCATAATTACCTCCCGAACGGCGTTAGCACAATATGCTACGCCGACAATACGCTGGTGCTAGCGCACGGGAGGTCACACCAGGCGGCGGCCGACTTAATGGCGACAGCGGTTGCGACAGTCGTTGAGAGAATCCGGCAGTTGGGACTCGAGGTGGCGCTCCACAAGTCCGAGGCCAT